AGAAAAACTCTTCTGGACATGGGCCTAGGCAAAGAATTTATGACTAAGACCACAAATGCAACAAAGACAAATATAAATAAACGAAACCTAAGTAAACTAAAAAGCTTCTGCACAGCAGAAGAAATAATCCTAAGAGTAAACAGAAACCTACAGAATGGCAGAAAATGTTTGCAAACTATGCATTTGACAAAGGACTAATATCCAGAATCTACAAGAAACTCAAATCAGTAAGAAAAAAGCAAACAATCCCATTAAAAAGTGGGCTAAAGAAGATATACAAGATATATAAGCAGCCAACAAACACATAAAAAATGCTCAATATCACACTAATTATCAGGGAAATGTGAATTAAAACTACAATAAGATCCCACCTTATCCAAGTCAGAATGACCATTATTAAAAAGTAAAAAAACAGTAGATGTTGGCATGGATGTGGTGAAAAGGGAGCGCTTATATACTGCTGGTGGAAATTTAAATTAGTATAACCTCTATAGAAAACAGTTTGGAGATTTCTCAAATAACTAAAAGTAGATCTACCATTTGATCCCACTACTGGGCATCTACCCAAAGGACAAGAAGTCATTATAACAAAAAGACACCCACAGGCATATGTTTATCATGACACAATTCACAATTGCAAAGATAAGGAATCAACTGACAAGTGGATAAAGAAATGTGGTGTGTGTGTGTGTGTGTGTGTGTGTGTGTGATCTAGAGGCTATAATCCTAAGTGAAATAACTCAGGAATGGAAAACCAACATTGCATGTTCTTGCTAAGTGGGAGCTAAACTATGGGTATGCAAAGGCATACAGAGTGGTATAATGGAAATGGGAGACTCAAAGAAGAGAGGGAGGGTGAGGGTGGTTAATGGAAGAAAAATTATCTATTGGGTACAATGTAGGCTACCCTGGTGATGGGTACATTAAAATCTCAAACTTCACCACTATACAATTCATCCATGTAACCAAAAACCACTTGTACCCCTAAAGCTACTGAAATAAAAAAATTAAAAAAAGACTAAGAAAAAATGTAATCTTTCACTCCCAGAGTTTCCCCGTTTGGTAAAATGAGCATACCAGTACCTACTCTGAACAGTTTTGAGGAGAGTCAAATGTTTGTAAATCACTTATTGTAGTTTCCGGCTTGTCGCGATCACTCAATAATGGGATCCATTAATAGTTTGGGGAAGAGAAGTGGCTGAAGGGATTTGGGTTTTGCAAGAGGTCATTATGGAGGCCATTACTGGAAATATGGATGGGGGGTGGGAGGGATTGGGCAGGGTGAGGCGAAGTGATTGAGTGTGGGCTCTGGGAGGTCAGTGAGGAGGCTGGAGCAACAGTCTAGGCAAGGGATGCAGACCCAAACTAAGGCAGTGAAATGGGATGGGCAAAAGCAATAACTATTTAGGGGGCACACTGAGCTTACTGACTAGCTGAATGTAGGAGGTGAGGGAAAGAGAGCTTTCCAGTTGCAGAGCAGTTCTGCTACCCTGCATCTGTGATACAGAAGGAGGGAGGCTGAAGGATAGGGATGGGGAGGGGGAGGGGAAGGGGAGAAAGAGGGCGTATTGAGGAGCAGAACTTCCTAGGAAAACAAGAATGCTTCATTGCTCTGTGAGTGTGGGAGGCAGTGGGGCGAGCAGGCTCCACATCCTGAACCAAGTCAACTTTAGAATCTCCAGGGAAGGCCCTGCACATGTGACTTTCCCCAAACAGGCATTTCTGAAGGACTTCTTTCTAACTTGTGTCACATGCAGTTGACTTTCTTTGTCTCCAGGACTCTCCTAGAGGCCAACTGCATTGGTTTCAATCCACCCACTTAACTTCCTGCACTGTAGTTTTCCACAGAACTTACTCAGCATCTTCAGGTCTAATCCTGAATTGTTTGCAAGTGCCACTGTTTTTGTCTGTAGTTGCAGTTCATCTGTGAGGTCATTTCCTGATGTTCTATCCAGAAGTTTCAAGTGGTTTCCCACAGGTGGAAAGACACAACGACAAAGGGGAAAAAAAATTCCTGGCTCTGGCTCCTCATTATGAAAGGGTAGCAATTGCTACCCTTTTGGGTTTGAGACTTGAGGGACAATCCAAGACTTGTCTCTACCACAGGAGGAGAATGAGGCAGCAGCTTATTCTTGGTGCCAACAGCACCATACACAATGTTCGGACACAACTGGTAATTCATAAAGAAACAAAGTGATAGTAAATGGAAGCCTTTTTCAGGTGCAAAAGACTTAGGACAAATTCTTGACTGAGGGGGTGGGTGGAGAAGAAAATGCTGGAAGGCCTTAGCATTCAAAAGGAGTCAAGTGAAGACAACCAAGAAAAGGGAGGCTGCAGACATCCAGGATAAACTACACTGGCAGAATGTTGCCTAACGTGACCTTAGTTGATAGTACAGTATAGTGATAGGAGGTTACGTTCTGCAATTAGACAATTCTAAATTCAATCCAGACTCTTTACTAAATTACACGAACTTGGCTTAATCATTTTTCTTTTGGGGCCTTATTACCTTGCTATAAAGTGTTGATAATACCTCTCCTACCAAGGCTTTTATTACAGTTTTGGAATGGAGGGGAGGCTTAGGAGACTGGGAGTAAAAGGAGACTTTTCTATTAGAGGATATCACTCACTCACTCACTCAATCATCTATCCATCCATTCATCCATCCATCCATCCATCCATCCATCCATGCATCCATCTACCTACCTACCTACCTATAGATCCATCCATCTCATATTAGTTTGAGGTTATATTACTCTTCTTGCTTTGGTAGTGGAATCTCCAATACTCACTATGGTTACTAGCACATCGTAAGCATTCAACAGATGTTTATTGGCTGGAAGAGTTACACTAATCTGTAATCTTTCTTTAAGAAATTAATTTTTTCTCCAGTCTTCCCTACGTATATGTCACCACCACCTGCCCAGATATCTACGTTAAAAGTCTTGATTCCTTGATTTATTGAGTACCTGCTAGGGTCTAGGCACCATGTGGGTTGCTGGAGTGGGGAAGGCAGGGGGAGTGTGACGAACTAGACCCAACCACAGCTCTCAAGAATGTTAGAGAAAAGGGAAGAACTTGTCATTTGCTCAACTTCCTGCTTGTCTTTAGATAGAAGTCATAAGTGGGCCATTTCGAGTGTGCTTTTACAACCTTTGGTCAAATACGTAGAAATCCTTCCAATCCACAGCCATCTGAGTGGAGAAAGGCTGCTGTGAAGTGGTTCCCTGGTCATCGGATGTGTGAATGCCATACTGTGGAATTCTCACTATTTGTGAAAACTACTAAGGAATAATACGTGTTTTGAATCCTACTAAGCTTCTCCCACTCTAGTCCAGCCTCCGTAGATGACATAAATGCCCAGAATAAGAATTTTAAAAGCACACGGAAAATGACTCTGGTGAAATCTTTTGCGAAGTCAACTTAGAGCTAAGTGAGCTAGCTTATTTCTACTGAGTGTGGGCTGCACTTTATATATCTATGACTATATATAAAGAATCCTTTCAAAAAACTCTGTGACTCTTTGGCTTAATTGTGAGTCACAAGGCTCCCATTTTAGAGAGTGTGTGTGTGTGTGTGTGTGTGTGTGTGTGTGTGTGTGAAGGAGAACTTTGGGCATAAAGCATATATTAATATGTACTTGTAAAGAAGTGCAGTGTGTATGTAGAAAGTTTTATAGCTTTTGTTAAAGCAAGGGAAGTGTAATGGAGGAGAAAGAGAGAGAAAGTGTGTATGTGCGTGTGTGTGTGCATGTGGTGCAGGTGGTGGGCAGAATTACATGAGCAGCCAACTTCTTAGTGACCCAGACAGTGGTATAAGATATGAAGTGTTGTAGGAGGTGATTGTTTTCCTTTCAGAATAGCACACAGGTCTTTGAGGAGCCCTTGACTTTCTCTTTCCTCCTTGTCTTGTTAAAAAGGGATTAGAGTCCAATTAAGCCTTTTAATCCCAAGGTAGAAATTCATGTTTAAAAACAAAATTTACGGCTCCTTAAAAAAAAAAAATATCAGTACAAGTTGAGTTTTGCCCTTTCAAGTTGCCACCTGCGTGGTCCCAAAGAGTGTTTTCAGCTGAATACCCAACATTCAGCTCTTCTTAATTACTTTGCCTCATTCCTCCAACTCCTTCATCTTTTAAAGTACCCTTCAACATAAATAGCCATATGCTACTAGAAATACTTCAGCCTCTGGATTGCCACGACCACCCCAGGTTTATTTCTCTTCAGTTGGCAACACAGTGACCAGGGTTAACAACAATAGCATTAAGAGCTAACACTTATTGGATGCTTAGTATATGGCAGGCATCATGGTGCTAGGCACTTTACATGCATTATCTTATTAGGTACTCCATCTGGAAACACCCAGGGCTGGCTTCACCAGTGTGTGACTTACATAGCCACACAAGGCTCCTTGCTTGGTTTAATGCTCTGCTGTTCCCATCTTGAAATTCTTGATTATTTGTGAGCAAAGGACTTGTATTTTCATTTTGGACTGGGTCCTACAAATGTAGGTAACCAGTCCTAAGAACATTCAATAACCCATAGTTTCTTTTTGTTTCTTTTGCTTTCTTTCCGTCTGATGCCTAATACATTGCCAGAGGATGGGACAGTGAATCTCAAATTATGATGCCAAAACACTCTTGAGAAAATAGGTGCCATCATCTCTTTGGAGGGAAGTTCTCTAAGGGACAGGAATGATATCATGGCTCTCAGCAAGGGAAAGAAAAGTATCTATGAGAATTTGGATAAGTTGTTTAACCCCTCTAAACCTAAGATCCCTCATCTGTAAAATGAGGATAATAGTAATAACACCTAACTCACAGGCTGTTCAAGGATGAAATAAAATGTTTATACAATTCTGACATGGAATACATACGGCATTACTTACTAGTAGGGCATTCTGGGTGCTTAGCTAGTAGTAAACATCAAATATTGTTTGTGACATGGTATGAATCACTTGCCCAATTCAAAAGTGCCCTAATCTCAGGAGATTCTTCCCTACCTGTCCCGCTGAGCTGGAAGGAATGTCTGCTTTCTCCACGGGCTGGGTGATCACAGAGGGGTTGCTGGAGCTGATAAGCACTGGGGTGCTGATCTCTACCATATGGCGTCCTGAAGGAGAATGGACCATCCGGTTGAGAGTGTTCAAGGCTGTTGTGATGGAAAATTGCCCCGGCCCCTTCCTCCTGGACCCTGGGCCCCTACGGAGGGTAGATGTGTTGCCTCTGGAGGATGAGGACACCAGGGACAGGTTTTTTGTGCGGGATGACTGGCGACCTTTGTTCTTCTCTAGAAGGTGTCTTGCGGTGAGGTTTGGCTGAAAAGACATAACGTCCAATGAGAAGTTTGTCTTCCTGATCTAATGTACGTAGCCAGTTCCTACCCACACCCATCTGAAACCAGGTCAGATGCCACCTCCTCGGTCACTGGCTCAGATGCTCATTCCTTGGTGAGCACAGTAACAGCTTCCATCTTCTATCAATGCATCCTCATGACTTTGCTCTATTAATGCATTCTCCCAACTTTCCTGCAAAGTAAGTATTACTCTTTTACTTAATAAGCCATGATGCTCTTCCCTGGCTGAGTATATTTATTCTTCCTTTACCCATTTTCCCCAGTCATTTCTGGCTGTTTTCACCTAGTGGACTTCTCCCCTCTTCCTTTAGCCATCCTGGAATCCCCCGCTAGGTTGGCCACTTCCCCTTCCTGGTGCTCCCAGCAGCCCCTGTGTTTCCCGATCATTGTATTTTTCACTCCAAACCACAATCCTTTACTTGCCTTTCCCCCACTAGTCTGTTAGCTATCTGGGTTGCAGGGACCTTCTACACATGATTCTCTCCTGTACCCCAGAGTAGATGCTTAGTGCTTGTGGAATAATGAGTGAATGAAGTTGCTCAAGTTCATACATTTCATAAGTGTTTGGGCCAGAATGTAAGTGCATTCAGGACCCTGAATTCTTATGCTAAGACTGTCTTTTACTACTTCCTTTAAATATGTTAATGTAATCACCCTTCTTCCTTGTTCTATGTCTCTTAGTCAGTGATGTGTTAGTAAATCAGCTGTCAGAAAAAAAAAAAAGTAACAAGGAAGAAAGAAAAAAAATCCCTGATTCGTAGAGTTTTTCAAGCCACCAATGGTTAAACACCTGGCTGGAAAAATTCCTGAAAATGTAACAACCAGCTCTTGTGATCTAGTTCCAGCCAACTCCAGTACACCACTGTGTTATGTCTGTCTTCCCCACTACATCCATCCATTCTCACAAGAAATACATAGTAATATTTTGAGTACCCTACTCACTGAGGGCCTCTGTGGGTTCATTTCCTTTGGAAATCTGAAATATGTTGACAAACAAGAGTTAGTGCAATAACTCTTAAATTTTTGGATGATTACCTAAAATTTCATTTTTATAATTGTTACCAGTTGCCCTCTAAAACCATAGCTCATTCTAATTTAGAAATCCAACTATAGAGGTAAAAGAAATTTGCCCATTAAACAATTTTTTAGCGATAATGTACAGAGGATTAAAATAACTGAGACAGAAAATTTTATTGAATGTGACTTTTGTTGAGGAATAAATAAAGTTCTTAAAAAGAAAATTTAAAAAAAGATGTGGTTCTTACCTCAAGAAGCTTATAATATTGTGAAAAACTCATTCAATAGGGGAATGAGCATTATTATGTCCACTTTAAAGATAAGGAGGCCGAGGCCTGGAAGGGGTGACTTATAAGTGACAGAGCCAGCATGTAAACAACTAAACAAGAAACCATCATATAATTATAAGTGCTCTGATGTGATAGAGAGGGATTGGGGGAGGGAGCTACTTTAAATCAGGGGGTCGAGGAAGATCTGCTGAGAAGAGGGCATTTAAGTTGAAACAACAAATGACAAGAAGGAGCTAGCTATGTGAAAATGGAGGTAAGAACATGCCCAGAAGAGGCACCATAAGCTAGTGTGAAAGTCCGAAAGAGGGAAGGAGCTCAGCTTGCTTGAGAAAAAGACAGAAGAAAGAAACAGAGAGAAGGCTGGAACAGAGCATGTAAGGAGAAGATGATAAAAGAGGCCATAGAGACAGGCAGGGGCCAGATCACAAGAGCCTTGGAAGCTTCCATTTTATTCTACATATAATAGGAAGTCTTTGGCAGGACTTAGGTAGAGGAGTGATATGATCTGCTTTATGCTTTTAAAAGCTCATGCTACTGTTCGGCAGTTTCTTAGAAAGTTAAACACATACTTAGCATCTGACCCAGCAATTCCACTCCTAAGTAATCACCCAAGAGAAATAAAAACTTGTGCTCACTCAAAAACCAGTATGCAAGTATTTATAGCAGCTTTATGCATAGTTGCCAACAACTGGAAAACAACTCCAACGTCTTTCACGAGGTGAATGAACAAACTCTGGCACATCTATACAACGGAATATTACTCAGCATCAAAAAGGAATGAACTACTGATACATGAAACAGCATGGTAATTCCAAATGCATTATCCAAAACGAAAGAAGCCCGACTCAAAAAGCTACATTCTGTATGATTCCATTTATATGATATTCTGGAAAAAGAAAACTACAGGAGCAGGAAACAGATTGGTGGTTGCCAGCGGTTATGAGTTGGGGAAGAAACTGACTATAAAGGGGCAGCATGAGAAATTTCAGGGCAGACTACTGGAACTATTCTACGTCTTGATTGTGGTGTGGTTACGCAATTGTATGCATTTATTAAAATTACAGAACTGGACGTTAGAAAGAGTAACTTTTGCTGTATGTAAACAAACAAGCAAAAAGAAAGAAAAAGCTCGTTTTGGTTGCTATTTAGAAGTGCCAGAACAGAAGTAGGGAGACCAATTAGGAAGTTACTGAAATTGTTTAGGCAAGCTCTGATGGCAGCTTGAACTAGGAACAATGACTTAGAGGCCCCAGGGCACCTGCCCCTCCATTGTTCACCCAGTAAAAGGGCAATATGCACTCTGAATTGAATGAGTAAAGTTCTTTATACAGCCATTCGTGGCTATAATGAAATAAGTTAATTTTTTCTGCTTCCTTAAACCTAATTGTTCTGTCCCCAGGTGAGTACCACCATCAGCTTTTCTAACATGAACACTGACAAAGGGCCCCGGAAGACTCTGCATCTGCCCTATCCTCTGCCAATATGATTAATAGCTCTGCTGGGGAAGAACTGCAGGTCTCTTAGATTTGCACCCACTCATTTGAAACAATATTGTTGAGGCTCCTTGGGCTGAGCAAAGTTCATATAACCCAGGCAGGCTCTGTTGGAGGAGTCCTGATAAGAATGAGCATAGGCTCAGCCTTTGTTTTATCACCTTTTAATGCAGGTGCAATTCAATACGTGAAATGATACATTAACAAGAAAAATCCTGTTTATGCCAAACACACCCACACACATGCACACACACATACATCATGCTCATAGGAAAGCCTCCCTTCCTTCCAATTGCTTTCCATAACACTGGTAATTCAAAACTTATTTAAAGAGTTCTCAGCAAGTGCTAGTCTTAATGAAATGACTGGAGTCAAAATTTAAGTGCTGCTTTAAAAAGCACAATTTAGATTTCAGGTAATTTTTGAAAACCAGGTTTCCAGAGTAGAGCAACCACTTGATTATCTTTTTCCCCTCCGAGCAATTAGGAGAACAAATGAAGCACTGGCTAGTTTAATGATAATCTTGACGGTTCTTGTACTCACTAATTTTAGAGGTGAAGTGGCCGGAAAATGTATCCAAATGAATAATCATTAAATGGAGAAGTTTTGGGAAATGGGTTTCAGAAATGGGTAATAAGATGACTGGTGACTTCCCCCCAGCCCAGAGTTATGAAGAAGCATCTCAAGATAATGCAGGAGACCAGGGAACAATTTCCATAAATATTTAAGCGCCTCATATGGGTCCAACGAGGTACTAATTGCAGCTGACCTCTGTCCTTGGAGAGTCAACCATTGACTCTGAATCATCCTAACTTCCTCCTCAGAAAAGGCTCCTACCCAGCAGATGGCTCTGCCACTGATCTATGTCCATAAATCAAGAAGTGGGGCTGTCCTTGACCACTTCTCTTCTCTATCCCTGCCTCTGTGAACCCCAAAGTCCTGTGGATTCTACCTCCTGAAAGGTCCCTGAACCTATGGGTCTAATCCACAGTCATCTAACTGGGCAATGCAGGGGCCTCCTACCTGCACTTTCTGCTTTCTTCTCCCTCTTCAAATCATTCCTCCCACTGCAGCCAGGGCAGTCTTTAAGAAACCCAAATCTGGTCACTTAAAAAACCTTTCAATGGCTTCTGTTGGCTTTTGGGTCGAATCCACACTTCCTATGAAATGGCAGAGGCAATGATACCCAATGTTCCATGTGTTCCCTTATACTTCTCAGCTGACTTGACATCAGATCAGGCTATGTGACTGGTTCAGGCTAATGGGCTGTGAGTGGGAGTGACAAGTGTCACTTCTGAAACGAGGCATTTAGTTGGTGATACAACTCACTCTTCTTCACACGTCCCTACTGTGGAAACTAGGAAGCCCACAGGTTCCAGATGATGCAGCTACCAGATGGCCCAGCCATATTAGTCTGGGTTCCTGAGTGACTAGGTGAGCAGAGCCCTTCATCACTCTGCACTGAACATGGAATGTAGGCGAGGAATAACATTTTCTTTGTTCAGCCACTGAGACTTTGGTGCTGTTTATTGCCACGGCATAACCTAGCCCATCCTGACTATACGGGATGGTTTACAACGTCCTCTGTGATCTCTCTTCCATTTACTTCCCTGGCTTCGCTTTTTGTTCCTCTTTTACTCTCTAAGCTCCAACTCTGGTACTTCCTTTCTCCCCTGGCCACACTACACTTCCTCATCCTGCAGGACTTTTGAACATGCTACCTCCATTACCTAAAATGCTCTCTATCTGTCAGATCTTGGCATAAGTGGCATTTGCTGAACTTCTGCCCTGGTAAATTGCATATCATAACTCCCTAATAGTTTCCTCTACTTCAGTCTTTTTTTTTTTTCCCTTTTTTGAGATAGGGTCTTGCTGTGTTGCCCAGTCTACAGTATAGTGGCACAATCATGGCTCACTGTAGCCACAACCTCCTGGGCTCAAACGATTCTCCTGCCTCAGCCTCTGGAGTAGCTGGGACCAGTGTGGGCCACCATGCCTGACTAGTTTTTAAATTTTCTGTAGAGAGAGGAGTCTCACTATGTTGCCCAAGCTGGTCTCAATCTCTCAGGCTCAAGCAATCCTCCTGCCTTGGCCCCCAATGTGTTGGGATTATAGCCATGAGCCACTACACCTGGCTACTTCAGTCTTTACATGATTAATCACACTTGTAATTACTGGAATACTTTCTGACATTATAGTCTCTGAGAATAGGGACCCATGTTTGTCTTTTGTCTTTAGATCTAGGCACAGGTCCTGGCATAGCAGGCACTCAATGAAAAATTAGTTGAATAATTAAACATATGTTTAGGACAGGGTCACAGTGAATGGTTTGCTCTAAAAATTTTTTTCCCCTGGGAGCTCTGACTACCTTCCGAATTATTTTCCATTCATTCACTTGCTAAGCTATTTTTTTTTTTTTTTTTTTTAACAGAGTGCCTGTTCTGTGTTAGGCTAGCCTGTGAAGTACAACTAACCACTCATCAGATATTCAGAGGCAAGAGGCCATTGAGGGTTTAACTACTTGCTGAAATTTTATGAACAAAGTAGGTTTCTATCTGAGCCTTATAAAATAAGTGAAATTTGAACAGGTAAAGAGCATTGGGTGTTGCATCTGAAAGGGGCCCCAGCAAGAGAAAAGGCATTAGGAATGAGAATTAGGAATGAGTTTAGCAGAGACAGTAGGAAGACCAGCCTCTCTGGACCCTTCCTCCATATCTTCCTTCAACACTGATGGAGTAGAGGAGGTACAGAGAACCCTGAAAGCTGTGCAACGCTCTGGGTACACCGTTCATTTCAGAACCTGCTTTAGCTCTTATAACTAGAAGAATTGGTTGCTTCTGCTCAACTGTGGTCTGTTCTGTTTCAAACACTCCAGCCCCTAGGGGGGACAGCACGCCTTTTACTTCTTTCATAGCTTTCTACTACTCATTTTTAATGCTTTATGCATGTTAAGCACCCAGTAAATGCAGTTAAACAATGAAACCTCTCTTTTAAATATGTAATGACTTGCTTCAAGCTAAAGTGAGGCTCATGGCTAATGAGGTTATTATACTGGACAGGTTATACTATGCTGGAGATATACATAGCCTAGCATGTTTTCTTTCTTTTTTTTTTTAAAGAAGTTTTTTCTTTAAAAAATAGAAGTAATAAATATATGCTAATTTCAGAAGATTTAGAAAATACAACTTGGCAGAAGAAAATGAAAAGCATCTAGAATCTCATCATGTAGTGATCACAAATGTTAACATTTTGGTACATATCATTCTCTAGTCCTTTATCCATTTATATAAACACACATATATTTAAAAGCTAGTTCCATATGGTCCAACTTATTTTTTTATTGTGATAAAAGACATGTAACATAAAATTTACCTTCTGAACCATTTTTAAGTGTACAGTTCAGTAGTGTTAAGTATATTCACACTGTTATGAAACAGATCTTTAGAACTCTTTTATCCAACAAATCTGAAACTCTATACCTATTAAACTTTAAAAAAACTTAACAATGAATCATAAATCTTTCCATATCAAACACTTTATGATATTAAATATTATTCTCCATGTATTATAGTATTATCCATAGAGAGACACTTTTTTCATTACCACAATTAAAAAAAATGAAGTCCTTATTGTTGACTATTTAGAGTATTTCTTTTTTTTTTTCATAATTATATACCATCACCTAATGTTATGGTGAACATTTTTGAATATTTTGTACATTTATCTTTGCATACTTATTTAAATATTTACTTACAATAAACTCTCAGATGGACTTACTGACTCAAAGGAGGCCCACATTTTTAATATTTTTGGTATAAGTTTATTTGAGTTTGCATGTGACAGATTTCACTATTTTACATTCCCATCAGGAGAATGGAAAAGGCTCATTTCCCCAGACGCTTGCCAGAATTGGGTATTATTGTCTGGCATCTTTTCTTTAGAGATTTTAGTTAGTTCTGAAATAAGCCTCATAGCAAATAGCAATTGCTCTCAGGCATCACTGTAGCACATGCATATATCTGTATAAGCGTAAATCAGATGTAGACTTGATACTCACGTACCTCTACAAACAAGATAGGGAAGATGCCTACTTTATCTCCTAACTTGCCTTCTGCCCAGTTCTCATCCACTCGGCTGATCACAGTGATGATATCATCCTGAAAGAGAAATTCTCATGGTCAGCATTTACTCTCATTTTCAGGCAGTAAAAGCTCTCAGCAGAGATCAGTTTGGAGTCTCAGATGGTATAAAGTGTGAGGAATGTACCTTGCGCTTGATTTATTTGGGAAGTCTTTTGCTAAAATGAACTCTCTCCATAAAGGGCAGTGTTTGTATCACTGAGACCATAGGGGAGTAGAAATAATTTGGAGAATCAATGGAATCCAATAGGAAAACTTAGAAATGTTTCTAATTTTTAATCACCAGTAGGTCCAAGCTTTTCACTTAAATTTATCTGATGGAGAAATAAAGATGGAAGCCATAGGGACAAGGACTTTTAGCTTTCCAAAAAGAAAAATGAATTTTATGCTCATTTTGAAGACTTTTCAGAACCTATTCAATTTTTAATGCATCAAACATAAAGCAACTTTTTGTTCAGATTTTTCTTACTCACTATAAAAGGTTATATGTAAATTTGTAGAAACATTTGAAAATACAGGTAAGCAAAACAGGGAAAATATTGTATCACAATAAAGATACATTCACTGTCAACAGCTTGAATAACACATTTTTTCCAGATTCTTTTCTATCAAGACAAAACATACACACATATAAACATACATATTTTTTAAAAACCTTTCCAAAAACATACACACATGCATACAATAAAGTGCACACATCTTGAGAAATTTTACATTTGAGTATATCCATGAAATCCCTGTTCAGATGAAGGTATAGAATACTCCCAGCACCCAGAAGGTTCCTTTGTGCCCTTTCCCACCACTTGTTAAGAGGCAACCACCACTCTGACTTCTAGTACTATTTATTTATTTATTTATTTATTTATTTATTTATTTTTTTGAGACAGAGTCTCGCTCTGTCGCCCAGCCTGGAGTGCAGTGGCGCGATCTCGGCTCACTGCAAGCTCCGCCTCCCGGGTTCACGCCATTCTCCTGCCTCAGCCTCCCGAGTAGCTGGGACTACAGGCGCCCGCCACCGTGCCCGGCTAATTTTTTGTATTTTTAGTAGAGACGAGGTTTTACCGTGGTCTCGATCTCCTGACCTTGTGATCCGCCCGCCTCGGCCTCCCAAAGTGCTGGGATTACAGGCGTGAGCCACCGCGCCCTGCACCTATACATTTATTTTGTCTGTTCCTGTACCTCACACAAATGAAGCCATATGGGACACAGTGATTATTTTTATTTAATGCCATTTTAGAAACACCTTGCTGTGTCCATACAACATTCAAGTTCAACCTGTATATTCATCCACTAAAGACCTTCTGATCTGTCTCTGACATTCTGTTCCATGTGCCTCAGGAATTAGGATTAATTTAAATTTAAATCTGTTACTGCATTATACCCTTTCTTAGCTTCCTCTTACACAGCGGTATCTAACCTTTTTGGCACCAGGGACCGGTTTCATGGTAGACAATTTTTCCTCGGATGCGGGGGGTAGAAGGTGGGGATAGAGGGTAGGGAATAGGGGATGGTTTCAAGATAAAACTGCTCCAGCTCACATTATCAGGCATTCGATTCTCATAAGGAGCATGTAATTTAGATCCCTTGTATGCGAGATTCACAGTGGGGTTCACGCTCCTATGAGAATCTAATGCTGCCACTAATGTGACAGGAGGTGGAGTTCAGGCAGTAACGCGACCCATTACTATAAACACAGCAGCTATAAATACAGATGAAGGTTTGCTTACTTGCCCACCACTCACCTCCTGCTGCGCGGTCCGTTTCCTCACAGGCCACGGACTGGTACTGGTCAGTGGTCCGGGAGTTGGGGGCCCCTGCTCTTACACATGTGCAATTATGCATTTATAGGTTATTATTTATTTATTTATTTATTTATTTATTAAATTTTTAGTCAGAGTCTCGCTCTGCTGCCCAGACTAGAGTGCAATGGCGCGAACTTGGCTCACTGCAACCTCTGCCTCCTGGGTTCAAGTGATTCTCCTGCCTCAGTCTCCTGAGTAGCTGGGATTACAGGCACGGGCAACCACGCCTGACTAATTTTTGTATTTTTAGTAGAAGTGGGGTTTCGCCATGTTGACCAGGTTGGTCTCAAACTCCTGACCTCAAGTGATCTGCCCGCCGCGGTCTCCCAAAGTGCTGGGAATGCAGGCGTGAACCACCGTGCCAAGAGATTATTATTTATTTAATGTCTGTCTACCCTATCAGACCATAAACTCCATGCGTGCAGAGCCTCTGTCTGTTTTGTTAATCTTTGTTGTCCCTAGCACCTAACATAGTGACTCCCCTTTAGTAGTCAGCCAATAAATATTTATTGAATGCATGAATGCAGGAATAAATATATGGTATTGAATAAATTACACAATTCACTGAGCTAGAAAGCACTAGGAAAAGAACAGCTTTGGGAAGGAAGATCTTGAGTTTAATTTGGATATGCTGAGTTTAGAACATGAGATTTCCTAGAAGTCTGTGTATTCCACAGCCTTCCAGAATGGGTCAAATCCTCTCTTTTGGTTTCTTTGTCATAATTTCCCATTTATATATCTGTTTCTTTCACTAGATTGCCAGCTCTGTGAAGGTAAGAACAGTGACTCATCACTTTATCTCCAATGGCCAGCTTGGCACATGGATGGGCTCAAGAAATGAACGAGTGTGTGAAGTAAGTGCCCCAGTTTACAAATTCCCAGAAAGGGTGAGAGACACAGACGATGATACTCCCTTATGTCTTCCTCCAGCTGTGTGTCTAACGCCTGGCACAAAGTAAATACTCAATAAATGTTTGTGGAATTGAACTGACCTTCCTCTAACTGTAGTCTAGGTCTACACTTTGCTGTGTGGGCTGCAGAATGACCTTTCTTAGGAGTCTTGCTCTCAGGTTCCATAGCAATAATAAAGATCGTTATCTCAGAATATGGAGGACAGAGAGGTTGTCTAGTTTGAGAAAACCTGAAGTAAATCTCCTTTCTGGTAGTGGTAGAATAAAAATATTTTGTAAAACGAAAGACCTTGCCTAAGCTATTGTAGCAGTGCCACTTTTTATACTTACATTTGATCTACTTATCACGAGTGGTGAAGAATGAAAATAACTCTAACTGTGGTTTCTATGAGAGATGTGAATGTTTATGGAATAACAAATACTGAATACAGAGAGTTAAAGTAGTGTAGACTTCAGTACAACTGTCATTACTTGCAAATGGTGGGGAATCATCTAATGAAAAAGAGAGGCACAAGAAATCTTAGGGTAATTAATGTTTGGAAAACATGTCTTATAAGAGGTTATTTATGGAGAAAGGCACGATTATGTTATTGTGCGTGTCTGGAGTGATTTGAATGTGATGTTTACAACAAGATAGAATGTTATACATGAGAAGAATTAGGTAACCATAACTTGGTCGCAAGAATACCCTTACACATACGTAATAAAGAGGTAGAGGCTGTAGTTTTACATAGCATGTTATCAAATTGTTTGTAATTTTCTCTCCATGTATCTGTTCTTCCCATTACTCTGTGAGGACAGCAGAGACTCTGACTTATTCACGTCCTATTCCCAGGGCCTGCAAGGAGTAAGTGCTCAAAAGTGATAGAATGATAGAATGAATAAATCAAATGTGTTATTCAAGCTGTTGACAGTGATTGTATCTATATTGTGGTATAATATTTTCCTTATTTTGCTTATCTGTATTTTCAAATGTTTCTACAATGGTTTCAGGATAAATGAATGAATGAATGAATGAGTGAATACTTCTGTAATTACAATAAAAAAGGCTTACAGACTTCTATCACTTATTTGTAGATTTCTCTAGAGATTTCACTTGCATGTAGTCTGAATTGTACACACATATTACATATAGATGCACCACATATATACATATATAATTTATGGACAAAATATATTTTATGAATAAAATAATAAATAATAATATATTTAAAATACAATTTTTAAAAATCAGCAAATATTAAACAAGCAACTCTGGTTCTGCTATGGTCTCTATGTGGTCCCAGGTGACTCTGGGATTCACCCAGAATCCTACCTTGAGGAAGGTCAGGCAATCCTGGTTCTCACTCTTGTCCTTGCCTCGTAGGTCAAAGTTGTAGAGGGCCCTGCAGAGCGGGGGTGGCTGGGGCAGCTGCTTGATGACTTCCACGGAGCTGGCTGGGAAGATCCCACTGATGCCATTGATTTCCCCCTGGTACCAATTCTCATCAAGCTGTCTCCGGAGAAGGATGACATCTCCCTTATTAAACCTTAGGTCACCAGGATTTTGCCCTCTATAGTTGCATAAGGCCTTTGCTCGAGGTACCTGCATTGGCACAGACCAATAAGATATGTACTTAGCTGAGAGTCTGGAGGAACAGAAGATACAAACATTCTTCCTTTTATTGTACTTTGCTTTAACGTGCTTTGCAAATACTGAGTTTTTTACAAATCAAAGGTTTATGGCAACCTGTGTTGAGTAGGTCTATCAGCGCCATTTTTCCAACACCCTGTGCTCACTTTGTGTCTCCGTGTCACATTCTGGTAACTGTTACTAACTTTAAATATTTTAAACATTTTCATTATTATTATGTCTGCTATGGTGATCTGTAATCAGTGATCTTTGATGTTGCTCTCGTAGTGTCTGGAGGGGCGCCACACACTGTGCCCGTACAAGACAGCAAACTTCATCGATAAATGTTTGTGTTCTGACTGCTGCAGCAGCTGGTCATTCTCCCATCTCTCTCCCTCTTCTTCGGCCTCCCTATTCTCTGAGACACAACAATATTAAAATGAGGCCAATTAATGACCCTACAACTGCCTACAAATTTTCAAGTGAAAGGAAGAGTTTCACATCTCTCACTTTAAATCAAAAGCTAGAAATGATTAATCTTAGGGAGGAAGGCACGACTAAAGCTGAGATAGGCTAAAGGCTAGGCCTCTTGTGACAAACAGCCAAGTTGTGAATGCAAAAGAAAAGTTCGTGAAGGAAATTAGAAGTGCTACCGCAGTGAATTCATAAATGAAAAGTAAGTGAAACAGCCTTATTGCTGATATGGAGAAAGTTTGACTGGTTTGTGTAGAAGATCAAATCAGCCACAACAGACCCTCAAGCCAAAGCCTAATCCAGATCAAGATCCTAACTTTCTTTAATTCTGTGAAGGCTGAGAGAGATGAGGAAGCTGCAGGAAACAAGTTTGAAGCTGGCAGAGACGGTCTGAGGTTTAAGAAAAGAAGCTGTCTCTGTAACATAAAAATGCAAGGTGAAGCGGCAAGCCATCAATATTGAGTCAAGACCCACTGCCAGAAAGAAGACTACAACTTGCTGAAGACTCAGAACATCATTAACTTTTTTTTAGTAATAAAGTATTTTAAATTAAGTTAGATATATTGTTATTTAGGCATAATGCTATTGCACACTTAATAGACTACAGCATAGTGTAAACACAACTTTTTTTTTTTTTTTTTTTGAGACAGAGTCTTGCTCTGTCGCCAGACTGGAGTCCAGTCGCACGACCTCGGCTCACTGCAACCTCCACCTCCCAGGTTCAAGCGATTCTCCTGCCTCAGCTTCCTGAGTAGCTGGGATTACAGGCGCGCATCACCATGCACAGCTAATTTTTGTATTTTTAGTAGAGACGGGGTTTCACCATGTTGGCCAGGATGGTCTCCATCTCCTGACCTCATGACCTGCCTGCCTTGGCCTCCCAAAGTGCTGGGATTACAGGTGTGAGCCACCATGCCCGGCCAAATACAACTTTTATATGCACTGCGAAATAAAAAAAAATTGTTTGACTTGTTTTATTATGGTATTAGCTTTATTGTGGTGGTCTGGTACTGAACCTGCACTTTCTCTGGGGCATACCTGCATAATATTTTTTTCCCCATAAAACATGGATATTTTATTCCAGCTCTAGGAAATCAGCAAAAACCCCCCCAAAAAAACAAAACAAAACAAAAACAAACAAACAAATACGGAGGGAAACACATCTTTCCACACACCATTCTAATTTAACTGACATTAATTTGGGAAAGCTGGAGCAGAAATATATGTTTATATGTATATATACGTATGTCTTTATATACACATATATGCATTTTCAGATTTTGGTCTCACTGGAGTTCATGTCTTTTTTTTTTTTTTAATAAATGCCCCTAAAGGTCATCGAATTCAAGCTAATACGTCTACCTATGTCTCCTCATCAATCATTTAATATTGTTTGCATTGCATTCACAGTTTGTGTGTTAATCACTTATGTAATTTATCAAATTGCACATTTGGAGAGGTAAGGGAAAAACTTGGTTTAAGTAATACTCTATGTATCAATTACCCATTACATGATTTTTTTCATCATTATTTGCAACCTCACACATCTGTAGTTTTCTACGTAGTCTCTCTCTATGCAGTCTACTTCAGCTTCCAGTGCTGTACTTATCCATATCTTCTGGGTGGGACCACCCACGATCCATGAACTTGGGGTCAGGCATGAATTGTGTAGCACCTGAGTTGGATTCTGATTTGGTCTTTGCTTCTAAGCTGAGTTCTGTTGGCAAGGCACTGCGTGTTTCAAGACGTGAGTTGTTTTTGCAGGTACTTCTATTTTGGCGGAGGATCCTAGCTTAGTTTTTTTTCTTTAGGTTTAGGGAGTGACTCGTTTTTGCTACTTTTGTCCACAATGATTTAACTGCTCCAGAAATGTGCTGGTTTGTAGCATATACCTTTTCCCCTGTTACCTTAGCAATTATTACTGACCAAACTGGGTAGCAAACAGTTGCTCATAAAGTAGTCAGTCCCAGAGGATAAGTCATTTTCTTACACTTAGAACCTTTTCTCGCTGAAACCAAGCCCACCAATCCTGAAACCATAATAACTCCCATTTTTGGAAGAAAATCTTGAGGAGGATTCTTCAGATAGACATGAGCATCTTTTCCAAATTGTACTGTATCAATTATCGCATTTTTCACAAAGACATAAACACCCTTGCACCAGCCAGTATAATGACCAGTTGCAGTGCAGATGGAAGCAAAACCCATTTGTAAATGACCAGGCTGCTCTTCAACATATTTAGACTGGAGCGGTGGTGCAGTATATATGGGGACTTGCTCTGGTATCACTAGCTTTTTGGATTCCTCTTCTTTGGCTGCATGTACACTTACAGATGCATGTATCAGACCTGCAGGCATGATTGTCAGTTTTCCCATCTACTAGCAGGGTGAAAATCTGAAACACTGACAATGGTAAATGTTGGGGAGAACGAGGAGCAACAGGAAGTCTCATTCATTGCTGGGTGATGAAATAATCTGCACAACAAATGCCCGTGATACAAGTTTACCTGTATAACAAACCTTCACATGTACACCTGAACCCTGATGACCACCATGTCTATGACCCTTTCAGCCAAGGTTTTCAGATGACACCTGCATAATATTAATAACTAATTACTGAGCACTTCCTATGTGCTAAGTGTGTATGTGGGCCATCTCATTTAATCTAGGTAGTCCTTGGAGATAGACACTCATTATCCCCATTTATAAGATAGGGTGACAGAGACACAGAGTGGTTTATTAACTTGCATAAGATGACACAGCTGGGAAATGGCAGATATGGGGCATGAACTCAGACTACCTGATGCTAGAACCCTTTTTCTTAATCACTATGCAAGGCACAGGGTCGTGAACTTGACTCTACCTCTATGAGAGGGGAGTCAGTGACTCTTTCTGGATCTGAATACTGATTTTGAATTCTGGCTCCACTTCTTTCCATTTGTGTAATCATGGCCAAGTTACTTAATCTTTCTTAAACTGTATTCATTTATGAAATGAGCATTTGGATCATTAGGAAGCTCAGCTGAGACAAAGAAACAATTAGTCAGAGATCAATCGTCAGTTTTTTAAAAAAATCAGCTCAAGCATAATCATTTGTCAAATCAGTTGTCTAAATAATTATTTCAGTCAAATGCATTTTTACTAATTGAAATTGTTTTTTTCACATAGAAATGGCCTCACTCCAGTCTTGCTTGAAGTCTGCTTGGCAAACTGCAAGTTCTAACAGATTAAGAGGAAGTGCTTCAGTCACCTAGTGTCGTGTTTTATTTTGTGCTTTTCCAAGCAGTGGGATTATGTAATCACCTCTCATTGTAGCAGCCTTGCTATTTATAATCTTGGTATTCATGCAATGGGGTATAGAGAGGCATTAATTTAGGTCTTCATAGATCTCCTGAATCCACAATGTTCATTTGAAAAAAAAATTCCGAGCAGCTTAGTGGTAGAGATAAGACCTAACAATACTTCGCTGATGGAATGGTGGAGGTGCCCTTTTCTGCTGGTCCCGGGATACAGTAAGGAGACCCCAGGGATGAGAAAACCACAGGAACACAGCTCATCCCCAGGAAACTGGTGGACAAATGAACAAAGATGTATGTACTAGGGGGCTTAACATAATGCTGTGGAATAAACAGGGAATTGGTTGAATAAATTATTATATACCCATATCCATACAATGAAAAACTTTGCAGTCATTAAAATTGATTTTTTTTATAATTAATAACATTGAGCATTACTGATAATATACCATTAAGTGTAACAGAAAAGGTTAAGAACAATTATGTAGACTAGATTTTCATTATAAATACACATGTATATTTTTACCTAGGGAAAATGTTAGATGACTATAGGCTAATATTTTAGAAGTGGTTATCTCTAAATGGTGAGATTTTTGAATGTTGAAAAAAACACTTTTTTTCCTAAATGCTTAGCTGTGTTCTCTAACTTTTCTATAATAATTGTATTGCTTATTAAAATTGGACAGTTAGAAAATGAATGAAGTTGGTGGATGAGAGGTAAAAGGTATAAGAGGAATTTAGAAAGAAAGCAAGCCAAGCTGAGTAGGATAAGCAAACTATACAACTACCTTTTTTGAGGAAGGTGTTCCCTACCTGAGAAATAAGCAGGTAAAAGCTGGATGAGAATAGATTTCTGGGGAATGACCCAAATCTGTTAGACTCCTAGGGTTGGGTACATGAGGGAACAATAATTGTTCCTCCATATTTCTTCCTCTCAGTTTTCCATTGCAATATCACATTTTTCTGGGTACATGACTACCTGGAATATTGGTCACATTTTCAGCCTTTCTGGTGATTAACTCCAGGCCAGTGTGGGAGTAAGCAACCTTTAGGAAGTGTCCTTCCTGAGTTTTCTTTTCCTCTCCTCCATCTTGCTATGTGGAACGCAGACATGATCCCTAGAGCTCTAGCTGCCATCTTGAATATTGAGGATGAGGGCCACATCTAACAGGAGGGAAGAAGCCTGGGTTTCAGAGCTGCCACA